AAATTAATTTATGCACAAATAAATGAATTTTACAACGTACATAAGATAAGAAATATTTATGACTTAATTCAAAAATTACTTACAGGAAAATCATAAAGGAAATTTTTAATGCTAAGTGAAACACCACAACAAAAATTCTTTATTTTATTTATCATAATTTGTACGCTTTTGCTTTCAATTAACATGCAGATTTTGATATTAATTTTGTATTTATCCTCTTTGCAATTCAATATGACAAAAATGACAAGAAAAAACTGATATGGATTTCAATGTTCGGTTTCGAGTATATTTTACATTGGCATAAATGTTTTACAAACAATTAATTTACATTCTGTAGCATTCATAATAGGTAATTTCATTGAGTAATACCACGATTCTAAAATTTGATGAAAACCATTTCATTTGCAAGGATTCCTATCACAAAATAAAAGGTAGGTATATTATAAAATTGAATAGGGATAAAAGTATCATCTTTATTTTGAATTACACTCATATTTTAATTTTGTACATACAAACAGTTTTACTAAGATCATTGTCCTGAATGTTTTAAGAAAAGATAAATAATATACTAAATAAAATCCGTCTGTCTGAACAGAAAAATAATAATTTAAATTTGTCTGTCTAATTCATAAACATATTTTAAGCAAGTACTTACAAATTGAAAAATTATTACTTTAACCTTGGTTTGAATTCACAATTAAGACATTCAAAACAAATATTAATGAAGCATGCACACATGTAAAATTTTAATAACTTATTAAGTGGATTGTCGTTGATAGATTAATAGACAATGTTCAACGCCTTTTTACAGAGACCAAAAGCTGGAACAAAATGGACGGAGTGTTACCTTGTCCGGCGGTCGTCTGCTTTATGGTTTTGCTCAAAATAACGGTAAGAGTAGAAAAATGTAGCTTTGTTCCTTTTTTTGAAAAGCTAAAAATTTCCTTCTTTAATACAGTTTTACTTAACCTTTGCAAATAAGGGTCAAGAAGAAATGCTCAACAGAACACTCTTGTCATGCTTGATATGACATGAGTGCTGATTGAAGAATCGATATACCAAAAGGTTGATCGTTTACATTCACGTTCTATGATAACATTATTCATAATCGAATCAGAACTGTTACAACTTAATTTTATATCAAACCATTTCTTGATTGTAACGAATCCGAGACTGGGTTTAATTATAAAATAATTACAAAGAGTCATTTAAAAGAATAGAAGAAAGAAATTACAATTCTTACACAGAACTAAAAAAGGATAAAGATATCTTGCAAACATAACCAGATTCTTTTTTGGAAGTAAAATGAATTAGGTACAACCTTATCAGACTAAATTATATTAGGATTTATTAATGTAGCTGAACTTATAATATTAAAAAGCTCATAAAAGAAGTTGTTACTTGATGAATTTTAATCGTTCTTCCTTCATTTTGTATTGTGTTTATTTTCAAAGACTGCTTAGGAATTTAAGAAATCCCATGTTTATTATACCCCCGATTGAAAAGCGAGAGGGTATAAAGTGATCGGGATGTCCATCCGTCCGTATGTCCAGCTGTCTGTCTGTCCGTCAGTCTGTACGTCCGTGTGTTACGCTTTGGGTTACCCATCTCTTAACCGCAACTCCACTTTTACCACGGAACGAAATTTAATGAGACTTTCACAGAATCTTTGTTGTATAGTGCTGTTGTGCACCTCATCATACTTTTTGATCGGACGCATATTTTGGGTTTCCCAAAGTAAAACATGAACACGGCCATTTTTTCTATAATATTAATATTGAAGGGTACCTATCTCTTATCCACAACTCCTCCTATACCACTGAATAAAATTTAAGGATTCTTATACGGATTCCTTATTACATAATGCCATTGTGACCTCATATTTTACTTTTTGATTTGACACTTATTTCGGGTCTCCCAGTGCAAAACATGGGCTTTGCCATAATAACCATATGGGAGGCGGGGGTTATCATTTAGTGAGCTTATTGCTCACAGTGCCTCTAGTTGAAAATTATATTGGGTCTCATTTTTAAATTTTCGAAATTCGATGAACTGAATTCTGTTAAAGCTGAATCACAAGAAACAAAACTGGTATGTAACTTTCTCAAGGTATAAGGTAAAACTATCTCAATGTCTAAAAAAATTAACAGGAAACTGTCATTGTAAATTTTGAATTTTATCAGGTGGTAGTACATACGAAAACAAGTTATCATTATTTGAAGTTTTGTCTGTGTAAACTTTGAGAAAATCATTTTATTCTACAGCAATTGTTTCAACTGAGTTTTTTTTAAATGTAAGAAATGGTCATCATCTATGTTTAATTACAATGAAAATGTTGTTTTATACCAAATGATGCTAAATGAATAGACTTATTAAGCATCTTCTACTTGAAATGGAAAGTTGAATTGCAAGCCACGTTTCGAGATCATGACCATACAAAATAAAATTTAGAAAAATGCAAAATTATTATTATTTTTCAATATCTAAACTGGAGCAAAAGAAAGCTAATCAATCATTTTTTTTCGAATACAATGGTAGGAAATGAACATTTTTGCAAGATTGAAATTTCTTTTAATTTAATAAGGTCTTGAGGAGCTACATGTATATTTAGTTGCATGTTCTTTGAATCTATCCATACGTTTTCCTGTATATACTCGGTCGTTCCACTTCAATGTTTGAACAGTCTTCTCAAATGTAGTATTACAATACGTCTAGTTGTTTTTAAACGGAAACATTTAAGAAATAAACAATGTTATTCAGTGAACATGGCGTTATGAATAGCAATTGCTCTGCTGGCATATTCCATGATGCACGCTAGCGCATCATGGAAAATATGCCAGCAGAGCTATTGCTATCCATAACGCCATGTTCACTGAATAATCGTTGTTTATTACTTATATTTACGTATTTTGATTTTTTTTCAAGAATATCAGAGGAAATCCTGACTTACATAAGGACGCAGCTTCTTGTCCTCAGTAAAGAAAAACATACGGCTTTTAAAATCTGTACACCTGATCAATGAATGCTCCTTTTCTCTAATAAATCACAAACAATTTATAAAGTATTTGCCTCTCAAACATAGTTATCTGGATAGAAGCCGCGCCGTCACCACATTCTCTTACTTTTTGTTTTGATGTAGTTGTGACGTCATCGATCAACGTTATTGAAACCTTCTGACAAAAATCAATAATTCAAAACACTATGATGAAAAATGAGAATGCTTTAATAATGATTATTACTCCAAAATGCTTTTCTGTGATTTTTTTTTTTTAGTTTTTCTATTTATTTTTCAAAGCTGAAATAGTTACACTAGTTAAAGAAATTTTCTTTTTCTGAATGTTATTACCCAAGTGTGAAGAGTTACCGGTCTTTGTACAAATATGCAAAAATATGATACGAAAAAATAAAAATATGGCATTTCTCTACAATTTACCATATTAACTAAGAGTTTTGTAAGGCACTTCAAATCGTTCATAGATTATTTCTTTGTTATTTGACTTGTATTTTGTCAAGCATTGAAGTGATATTTTGTAGGTTATAAACTTGAGCTTCTTTATATGTAATAGGGTAAATTGATGGTGGCCGTATGCTAGACCTTTTGTCCTTAATGGATACTCTGTGCATATTAAGGGTCTAATAACGCTATATTCCAGGGTTCCTATTAACAAAATTTTTCTCTTAGATAACGAAGATTTCAATATTACGTTCGTAGGAAACCAAGAATGCACTCAACAGATTTAAAACCGGTAGCTTGATCTCAGATCAGAAGACAAAATAAAGCATTACATTAAGTGTGGGACTGCTATTTGTATTTATATCATTTTTTAGTACCTTTGATTGGTCAAGATGCTTAGAAAAAAGTTAGTCTTACATTCGATGTTAGACAGGACGACAAACAAGAGTTCCAGTCGATGATCTGTAGAAAACTATCAGTTCTTCCGGATCCCGTGTGGTCTGTCAGTTGGAGAATTGTTACTTGTGATGTAACTGTACTGTGTTAAGGTTGTGGTTTTCTCCATGATAGCTTGGTTTTAAGTTGTTGGAATTTGTGCTTTATGTGTATTTCTATGAATCTCTTACTGAGTACTATACACTCGTTTAAATAAAATTTTAAAAATCACTGAGACTATTTTTGCAAAATTATTTCGTCGATGCAATAAATATATATAAATATATATATATATATATATATATATATATATATATATATATATATATATATATATATATATATATATATATATATATATATATATATATATAAGAAACGACCTTGTCAGCAAAAGACCGTTTGACAAGAGATAATTACTCCTCCATGGCACCTGATCCAACCTCTGATGATTTTAATGGTATACGGGTTCTGTTTGCTCTGCTGAATATTTGTATTGTTTGAACAGACTTCTGAGCTTGATTATGGTAATCCTTATTTTTATATTTCGTATTCTCCTTTCTCTTATTTAGAAACTTAACTTAAAAGACTTTTTAATGATGTTGCTGAATGACTGATTATAAGGCTAATTTTGTAGAGATACATATGTAACATTTCAATCAGATAATTATGAAACCTTTGCACAAGTAACTGACATATCTGAACAAGGGTCTAACTAATTTAATTATCAATGTACCTTTCCTCATCTTAGGGTTCTTAATTTATCCCTAGATATTCTGGTTCTGTCATTAAAAACCGATTTACTTTCAAGCCACGTTTTATACTGGTCATGATTATTTTCTCTCCATTAATTGTCTATTTTTGGACTTCATCGCCTTGGATGTTTTCAGTGATTTTCTCTGCTTCTTATTTCTCTAAAAGATGAGGAAAACAATTCATATTATAGAAAATTAAAAGAGAATGAGATAAAGGAGTTAATTTATAAAACATTGAAATATGTGTATATGTAATCAGTTGTTGATGGATTATTCTTTAGTGTCTAATCAAGCATTTAATTGTCGACGTCATCACGATTTCACGGTTGTATTGTCTTCAGTCTGTTCAAGGAGTGCGGATTCGGAGGTTGTTGGATTTTTTTAAAGGCTGAAGCAATGGTAGAAATTTGGTAGTTCGAATACCAGATTTATTTCCACTGTTCACTTTATTTTGTGAGGATATATATATCCGATTGGATTTAAATGTTTGTAAATTTTGCTTTTGAGTAAAATCTAAGGTATGTAAATCAATATAAAGAAAGATATTGTGTCAATTGTACATCTAGCAAATGGAAAGTTTTACCCAAACTGCTGCATTTTTTCTCTGTTGAATTATTTACATTTTATCCTCTACTTAATAATAACAAGAAGAAAAAGGTAATGATTTTGTTTCCTGATTGCATACATTAACTGCATATCATTTTTAAAACCATTCTTAAAAAAAAAGCAATAGATTCTACACGTCTAGAAAGAGTTTTTTTTATCCCAAAAGTTGTTGATTTGCATACTGGTATTCACAATGTTACTGCTGTGGTTTTCTTTCATTTTAAAAAAAAAATCAATTGATTAAAAGATTAAATGAATGTAATTAAGCATGTGAATATATAACCCTTTCTTTTGATGTCTTAAATGTATCTTTCTCTTTCTTTTTGGATTGGCTTTTATAAATTTTATGAGAAATTAAGCATACAGCAGTGTTGCCTATAATTTTCTATTTTGGTTGATGTATCACTTACGAAATCCACGTTGGGCTTCCTTAACTGTCAATTCTTCATTTTATTCCAGTTTATACATGTCATTTTTAACGAGTCTCCTTCGAATGCCATATTACAATATGCGCATAATTCCAACATATGTCAAGAAGTCTAGATTAGAATTCAGCTATACTATCCCACCTATTGATTTGTTTAAAGAATCTCTAGAATTCAAGTTTGATCTACCACGTTTTGATTTTCCTGCAAATCTCAGACTTTTGAATATATTTGTGTCAATATTCAATTATATTTTCATATCTGTGATTGAAGTAGGACCTTTTGAAACAGATTAAAATATTCACTGAATGTTTGACTTAATTTGTTCAATTTATAGATATTATACGAGCAGATTAATAGAGAAGAATGAATTTACTTGAGCTGTCTAACGAGAGCTGACAGGCAACGCCAACAAAAAAATTTGTCAAAACAAAAATAACGTACACTTTTTATCACTTGAAAGCAATTTTTGTTGCACTTTTTCATAAAAATGAAATGATTTTGAACCAGTTTTTAGATGATAAATTTTTATAGTGCATATGTCCAACCTACATTTAAAATTCATTAAAAAGAAATATTAAATGAATAAAGAAAGAAAATCTCTAGCGGGTGTGAATTCTTTTAGTATACACCTATACATGCAACTCAAAAACATTTATGTCTTATCTATGAGCAATAGTTATTTTCAATCGCGTGTCGACTCGATATATCCCAGTAATCTTGAATAAAAGAAGTCCTCAAAGAGTCCTCCAAATCTTTTTTTTTCATATTCGGGTATTTAACTAACTATAGGTGATATAGGCAAATTACAACTATATTGTATGATATACGAGACGACTTTAACATTTTCTTCGTTAACATTCCTAGTGTACGTCGTAATATTCCACTTTCACCTGCTTATAGTGTTTATGCCTGCCAATATTTCTTCGCTACTCTTGAACATTTTTTAATAAATCTACTCACTTGCAAGTTGATGTTACAGGGATTAAAAAAAGTCTAGTCTAAAATCGACATTTTCGAGAATTCTATGTTCATAATAATGACCTTTTTAGTAAGAATAACAGGGAATGCTTACTCAATCCCACCTGAAAGATTGCAAAATGACCATTGAGACATATCCATGAGTCGAAAGAAACATATGGAGAAAACGAACAGTATTCAAATTCAAAAGTCCATAAAACAATACAAAATAGGAGCAGAGCAAACAAGGACCCCCCAAAACATCAGAAGAGGTGGGATTAGATGGAGGAGTGAGCATCCCTTGCCGACCGTTCACACCCGCCATGTGCTCCTTGTCATGATCGGGAAATAACGGAAAAATCCGTCGTCAATTCAATGAATAAAATAATGGACTAACAATTAGTATGAAAAAACGTCAGTCAGCATTTGACTCCATGATAATTTGTATTTGCTGACAAGGTCATTTATTATAAATATACCAGCATTGCAGCAACATTGCATATGATAATAAAGACAAAATATAGTTCATAAAAACTACACAGATTTAATTTTCCTAGTTGGATTTTAAACATACATGTACATGTACATGTTGCATTTCAACTTATCTCTCTGGCCTAATATTAAAATACATTATAGATCATTATAGAAAATAAAACACACACCAAAAAATGCTGCTTAACAGTGTTATTAAGTGCCAATCATCATACCCTAATTAACAATTAAACCATTTAAATAGTTTTTATTTTTTTATTCATAACACTTGAACGTGTTGACAAAAATGAATCATTATATTAGTAATTAAAAAATTACAATATGCACTTGCCACTTCTGCTGCCCATTACAAGAATTACAAAGTGTGTACCAACACGTGCATTTTATTTTGTGTCTAAAAAGATGGTAATTCATGTGTAACATATATAAATGGAGGAATTGTTCATTTTGTGGCTTGATTGACAGTCTAAATAACAATATCAAAAGCTTGCTTTCAACTTAATTTTTTGAAGGATAAAAAGAGGCTCATTAAAAAGAAATTAATTAGTTACTTTTTGAATTCGCTTGAACTACGCAATATATACATGTATTTATTCCTAATTACAAAAAAAATAATTCAATTTATTTACTATTACATTGTAATGCTGTTAATAGGGTACAAGGCAAACGGTTGAAATTTCCTTATAGTGCATGATTAATAAGTTAACTTTTATATACAAGGAAAAAGCTCTAATATTTTGGACTTTGGACTGCATAGGTCATAATCCGGATAAAATTGCTATTATGGTTTACTCTATCATTGTTATTTTTTTATTCAATTAAATAAACACGGTAGTACAGTCATTCATTTAGAAAATATTAAGTTACCACATGCATTACTAGTATATACATGACATGCAATTTTTTTTTATCGTTGTTCATTCCGGGCATATAGTTTAAAGCATGTATCATTTTTGACAGACGGACCTGCAATATAATTAAAATGGAATATTTAATTGCATAGCTCTCTTGGTTTATAAATACATCTTTTCTCTTGTACGCAGTTCAGTTTCAAATAACATAACACCATAAGAAGAAAGCAGTGTGTTAAACAAAATGAAGTACAAAAGATAAAAATGTGTCAGTAATTGTTTTTGTGTTTAATCCATAAAATTGAAAATGAATATCTACTTCAGTTGAAGTTTTTCTTTGTACTTTTTAAAAGTGACAGATCACGTTATCTTGTTTTGCATTGTTATACAAAATATATTCTACATAATTAATATCTCTAATGTTGAATAAGTGTCCCAAAATAAGATTTTAAATGAAGATTTATTCGTTCAACCATCCCTTTAAATGAGCTCTCTTTATCATAAAGATTGCTACTGTCAGAGAAAATCTGAAGCCTCATGTAGATGTAATTATCAAATTAATTATAGAACTAAGATCCTGGGGGAATTTGTATGACACATTTATACAGAATACTATACTTTTAATTCATAACATGACATAAACGTCTTTCTTATTCGAAATATGACATAGGTAAAACAATCGATGTGGTTAGAGAAAACCACAAAAATATATATACTTTTTGTTTTACATTTTTTAGCAATATTTTACAGATTTAATAAGTAGAACTACCTCACTGTTATTGTAGACTTCCGCGGGCGCCATGAGCAGACGGACCTTCCTCGTTCTGATTTTGTCCCTCCTTATTCAGGGTAGTCTTCAACAATACGGGCATCTGGAGGATCCACCCGCGCGCGGATCTATGTGGCGGTATGGATTTAACACCCCTGTTAATAATGAGGACAATTCCTTGAATTGTGGAGGAAAACAGGTTTGTTTTAATTTTATGAATTAAGAGAAATTCAAATGTGACCTAGAAAAAAATGTAAACTTCATTAAAATTTTAAAGTCTTATTTAAGTTTTACAGAAGAAGAGCTCAAATAATATCATGATTTATTTCAATTCAATTCTTTATTCACTCAAAACCAGATCACTGGTACAAGAGGTACATAAAGGTACAAAATATGCAAAAGATATTCCATAAATAAATATACTACATCTCATTACGTTGAAAGTTATTAAAAATTAACATAAATTAAAATTTAAAAGGAATAAAATTCTTAGATCTTTTAGAAAACGGTCTACATCAACTGTTATAAAAGAGCAATAAGGAAAACATGTCTGTCACTATCTGTTTATTTTCCAAATTTATGATATAAATATAAATGCCTTTACATAAATAGTTGAACGCTTTCAATTCTTTAAAAAAACTCAATTTTAAAACAAATTACCCTATCTCCCCTCATGTGTCTGTTGATTCAATATGCAAGAGCTTATTCTACGAAAGAATTATTTGTAAAATGTGGAGAGATTTTGACAAATGAGTTGATGATACAAATTGCTTCGCTATATCCGTAATTCGTTATATCCGTATAAAGAATTCGTTAGATTTATATAGCTTGGGATCCAAGATAACTCCGTTATATCCGTTAGTTTGTACTAAACGAGTTTTACTTTACATGGATATCAATCGCCGCATTGAAAGTCAAGCTTTTTGAACATCCTATACTCCATATAATGCCAATGTTAGCAAACACAGTCAATCGTTAAGTCAATGTTGACAGATAATTTTCATAAGATTATAAGACTATTATTTTCATATTGAATTGTCAATGACAATGAGTACACGTCTGGTATAAACAGAACTTACTTCCCCCATGTACCTGTTTCAGCTTATCGAATTTTCGGGGCCCTTTTTTATTATTTCTACTGTTTTTTGCTTTCAAAAATGTAAAATGTGAATATCCCCGTCTGACCTCAACTTAACTACAGTATGAAAAAATGAGAAAAATAACAATTCATTAATAAAAAAAACAAAATGTAAAAAGTAAAATCACGCACGCAAGAGTTCTGAGATAACGTACCTAGAAGGAGTCAGTGTCCTCTTTCAAAAGGTCAAAAAACAACTGATAGCTGGGATTAAAATATGAAAGTGTACTTTAAAAATCAATTTGCATTGCAAACCTATTGTTGTTATATATGTACTTTTTTTCTTTATAGGGTTACTTGTATAACATTTTTTGAAATGAAATTTACGTAAAAATCACGTGAAATTTATTTTTCATGTCAAGGTTCAAATGAAGAACCAGGGACGATGTGGGGTCTGTGGCGATGCCTACGATGGAGTTCGTGCGCATGAATATGGAGGTCAATACGCCACTGGACTCATATCTAAATCATTCCCTCTAGGAACGGAGCATATACAAATCATTGTCCGAAATGTCAGTCCACAACTTGGAAGTTACGAATTTCGGTTATGCTCTAAGGATAATCTTCCAGGAGGGGTAACTCAGGCGTGTCTGGATCAGAACGTGCTGTTAGTGAAGGATGACACTTTAGTGAATTCTGATTTTCGATCAAGGTACTATGTGACCCCGTCCATTAGGAACGTGCTTAATCATAAAATAATTGCCAAGCTTCCAACTGGATTTACCTGTGAACATTGTGTATTACAATGGAAATTTTTATCAGGTGAGAAAAGGAATTTACTTATTTTTCTCTGCTCCTTAAAACGGTAATCCAGATTTTCAACGTATATAAAATGTTTCATTTCTTTTTTTTCCTTTAGTACCAGACAGAGATGGATATAGGGAGGAATACGTAAACTGTGCCGATATAAGCATTGGGCGGAAACCATCTATCACAGGAACGGGGACCGTTTTTCAGGAATCGGTAACTGTGGGTACCAACAATACAGTAAATGATTCATTAGCAGACATGTCTAATTCGGAACTTCTTGAAGCATTACTTGTTTTAGCGGACATAGAACCAGTGCCAAACAAAGTAACACCGCTTTCAAATCCACTGAGCCCTGGTACGCAGCAAGAAAAAAATATTCCAAAGCATGAACAATTGATACAACAGTTGCAAAGTTTGGGTGTTCTTGTACCGATTGATTCCCCAAATCAAGGAGGTCCGAATGCAATAGATGCACTGCGTTCGCAACCAGATCCCAATGTAAATCCTGACTATTTTTTGGAACAGTTACAAGATCTAGGAGTATTGGTGCCTGTCGATCCTACTCCGTCTTCTGGATTGCAAACAGCAAAGACAGCTCCTTCTAGACAAACGTCTTCCTCTGCTAACACTATACAATCCTTTGTTCCAGATTTCGTCCAAATTCCTTCATCTTCTTCTCCAGAACAACTCGTTCAACCTTTAAAAGATATTGGTGTATTGGTTCCCGTTGATGAAGTTCTTGGCTCAGGACAGTCTGGTCAACATAGTTTTAACAAACAAAACACTAAAATACAAAATGTTCAAGAAAACGAACTTACAAAACAATTGCATGGATTGGGAGTAATTGTTCCAGTTGGACATGTTATTCAGTCTCCAAATTCACCGACCAATAAGGACTCTCAAGCTGTCTCTGTGAACAATATTCAATTAGTTGCTTCTAGGCCAGACAACATAAAACCAACAAATTCATTTTCTTCTAGTACAAGAAATTTTCAATCTAATAATTTTCAGTCGTCTCAAAAATCACAAAACACACGAAATCAACATCGTACATCTCAGCTTGGTGACATTTTCAATTCTAATGTTGTACGTCAAAATCAAATATCACGATCTCAACAAATGCAGGAAAATAATTCTAAGTTTAGCTCTTCTCAGAGTGAAATGACATCTTTCTTATCGCCAACAAAAACAGAAACTCAAATGGAATCATCGCAAACGTTTTCATCTTCCTCGTCATTCCGAAGCAGTGGATTTACTGTTACTAGTGGGAGTGAGATGATTCGTGGGGAACCTCAGGAGGTAAATCCTAAATTTGGAAATTTTGGAAGTGTTCAAAGTAGAGATCGACAGCAATCAATAGGAAGAACAATGCAGAGTAGTAATCAAAAGTTATCTACTGCAAACCAAATTCAAAGCTCTGCCTCGGGACAAAATACAATTGGGTCACCAAATGATTTGAAAAGGTTTCAGAGCAATCAATTGTCAAATTCCGCCAACTTTCAGCAAGGAAATAATTTTGCGATCAGTCTTTCTTCAGAGGGTTCTTCGAACAACTTGTCACCATCAGTTTGGCAAAGGCAAAATAGTCCTCATTCTTTGTCTCAAAATTTTCAGAGCAGCACTGCTGAGGTAGGTAACTTCGTACTTAGTGGTAATAACAAGAATTCGTTGTCACAAAATGGCAGAGCTTTCCTCGGAGATGTTGTACAAGGGTCAGATAATAGAAATAATGGAGTTCAAATTTCATCCAAATCAGACAGCACTCTCTCCAGCCCTGCTGGATCACTAAGTTCGAGAAACCCCTCACAATCAAAGAAATTTCAGACCCAGGAAAGCCGTACATCTCAAATAATTTCTGGTGCCAACTTGTCTGGAAATATTGAGAATGAAAAGAATACATTTTCAAAAGATACGCCTGCTAGTGCACCAATAAAGAAGTCGAAAATGGATCCAATTGACAATGCCCTAAATTTATCAGCTTCGACGTCTGTTAAGCAAATAGAAGAGGGACAAACGGTATTTAGTTCATCAGCAATTTCAGACGCATTTGGAAATGTTGCAAAAACAACAGAAACTGGACCGTTCAGTATTCGGGATAAACAACATTCAGAATCAAAGACTGTAGAATTCGGATCATCAAAACATCTTGAGAGCACGACATTATCTTTTTCAAATATCTTTTCTGACAAAAATAATGTACTTGCAAACACTAATACAGAAATTGACACACTCGGGATAAATTTCTCAAAAACGAAGTCAATAGCTGACAATTTAAAATCCTTGGAAAACACAAATTCTAAAACTGATATGTTTGCAAACATAGAGACATCTAGCATATCACCAAAAGTAGATCTAAATAGCAACATAATAAACACAGAAGCTGAGGTATTAAACCCAACACTCGTGAACTCCGAAGGAAATTTGTTTCGAAACTCTACAAATAGCCTCATAAGATCTGCAAATATAACAACAACTAATGAGAACAACATTGTGAAGGAAAAGAATCCAAATTCAGCGAAACCTGTTATGAACATGCAGAGTACCCTAGCTCCCCCAACACCAGAAAATGGAAAAGAAATGTTAACAATCCAAGTTCCGTCGCTTGATATGCTTATGCCTATACAGTTAACAACACCACCTCTTATTAAAAGTAGTCCTATAATAACGACAATCCAATCTGTGATTGATGTAACAAAAGCACCTACGGAGAATTTAAATCCATCTCCACTTTCCACTGTTGGTCCATCTTTCCGCCAAATACCACTAGAATCCATCAACAACTCACCTGCGTTCCCCACTGTTGATAAATCTAAACACACCTCAGCTTCAGTTGCATCCTCTCTTCCGAACACGGTGAAAAAAGCTTGGGGTACCAAAGAAAGATTGATTGATCAGCAAGGAAAGGAGAGTACTTGGGTGTCACCGAATGAACATAAAAATCCTCAGTCAGTTCTTTCACATAAAGTCCTTGATCCATCGTTTGACCCGAATATACTCGTACAAAGCACATCTGAGAGCACAGTTCAAAATATGCCAGTGAGAAATAGTCATATCAACGTGCACAATATCCGTCATAAATTAGACCCTGCTTTGTTTGGTATTGGGGCCGTCCCTAGATTTGATGCACCAATCCAAACGTCTAAAGTAGTTTCTCCTATTGCACATCAAACCATGCGCCCCTTGAACCCCATTAGTTTTCCGTCTAAACAATCACAAGTATCATTCAGGAGGCATGGCTTAACTGTACAGAAATCAGTTGTCCAAACAAAATCTGTTCAGAGCCAATCTTCATCTGTACCTCTTCCACCTTTGAATAATCTTTTTAAAGATTCAAGACCTATTCAAAGACCAAAAACCAAAGCTATTCAAAGACCAACGACACCAAAGACTATTAACCAATCAGGGAGTAGATCAAATCATCAAGCGAGTCCGCAACAAATACCTGAAAATACTGCGCGGGTAGAAGTTGTCGTTCAAAACCCTGCAGATTCAATAAAATTCTTTTCGACTATAAATAGTTTTCCTCCGGAACGAAGAAGAAGAATACTGAATATGCTCAGACAAAACCGCATCACAAATTTACAATTTACAAATCCTCAGATGATTACACATTTAGCTAATATGCACGTGCAGAGGTTTCCAAATCGACCACGACCAACCGCAGCTCAGATTTCTCATTTCATACAGAGACTCTCATCTACCCCAAATGGTCGACGTCTTCTGAATCAATGGAGGCAAAGAGTAGTAAATAGATTCCAACCACCTCAAAGATTAGAAACAATTGCACCACCAATTATTGTTCAAGCAACTGCAACCCCTAAACGTGAAAATTCATCTAGAAGTACTTCCACATCGAACAATTCTCAAAATACAACTTCGACTTTAGAGGCATTTTTCCAACAAAGAGTACCAGTTGCAAATGCGCGGCAACAATTTAACTCAGCAGTAAATCTGGTTCGACAACTTCAGCGTGAACAACAGGCCGAAGAATTATTACAGCAACAATTACAGGACTATACAAGAAACGGGCAATTTTCTTTGGCAAGAACCGTGATTAATACATTGCAGTTGCTCCAAAGAAGAAGATCTGGATTACTTCAACAAATTCAGGAGCTAAGACGTGAGATGCAAACATCTAGCAATATGCTACAGTCAGAAATGATCGCAACACAAAACCAAAGATCAGTTCTGCAGTCATCGAGACGTTCCGTATCAAGCAGATCCTTAACGCCTTCACCTCGTTCACAACAAAGGCAACAATCGTCCGCACCTTCTACTCCACCGCCTAGGCGTGAACAGGTACCCATTCAACAACAACTTGCACGTCAACAGTCGTCACGTCAACTCATGAACAGAAACTTACTTCAACAAGTTCTCGCCAATAGACAAACACCTGCAGGTAGTCTTTCTAATCAACCAAGAACACTCAATAATAGGAACGCCCGTCTCCGAAACATGCTCAGAGGGGCTCAACGTAATCCTTTTGCTGGCATAAACAGAAGCCAATTCAGACCAGGATTTTCAGTTAATAACAGACAATTCTTTGGATGAATTCGTATGGCTAATTATGTTTTCAAATACAAGAATTCCATAAACGTCTTAGAAACGGAGAAGAGATGCATGTTGTAAAGGATTTAATTTAACGTTCGACCTTTCGCATTGGAAGAGTTGCATCCCTTATATAATTCTTCGACTGTTAATTCTTGGGCTAGGTGAATTCGTTGGTGTGAGAACAGCGATCAAATATGACTGTTTAGGTGCCAATCTAATTAAGAATAGAAACAAGAACGAATACATCGACTTGCGTATAATAAGGCCTTGTCTCATCTGTATCAAGATCGCTTATATATTCTTTATTTACTTTTCATTGAATGGAAACGAAATACGTGCATTCTTTTTCATTGATCTATTTCAAAATGTCATGACCTTGCAAGAATCTTGGAAACTTCACGTTTATTTAATTTAATTTTAATTTTATACTGGCACCTAGATTCAACATAGAAGTAATTTTACTTCACACACAAGAGAAAGTAATATAAGAAAACCAAGTCTATCTACCTAGACCCCATTAACGAAAACAATCGACTTTCTTCGTATTATATATAACTGGAGAATACAAAAAGTATCCAGGCATTTTAGAGACCCATAACTTTCGGAGACTAGGACAGACTGCCATTAGAACTCAGGAATATGTGCAATATCACTTGTTGTTTATTGTTACTGTTGTTATATCATAGTATTTATTTTTCATCTCCATATGATTTTATCATTCCTTAATTTCATAATTCATCTCATTGTAGCATATCTGTCACACTCACAATGCCATTATTCACTTTGATTCAAATTAATTGAAAGAAAGGGCGGACAAGACTTTAGGTGTATATGAAATTATCATGAACAATCTACATATTTTGTTGAGATAATTCATCAATGTAACTATATTATTCCCAAAGAATGCAGAATAAAAAGTTTGATTGAAGAGTTTATCAAATGAATGAATATTCTGTTTATTAATTAAAATATATATACCATAATGATTTTTCCTTTTATTCTTGGATTGCTGGAAATATTCTATGCCGTTAAAGTGAAATATACTGCAGTATTAGTATTTTAGTAAACGATCTCATGACAATCAATAAACATCCAAATGAAAAACTTTTAACATCTTCAGTAAGCATTATTCATTAGTAGCAAGACATCGTTTCAGACCTTGGTTGGGTGGAACAGATGTCAAATTTGCAAATTTTAAGACATGACCAACTTAAATTAATCACAAAAGCAACTTCGCACTCAGAAAAGATATATAAGTATAGAGGTCCCAGTGAGAATTCAGATCGAATCATTTAGTTTGCTAATGATTTCTTGGATGTAATCGAAAACAAATGCTATTATATAGCTTATCTATAGAAATGACATCACTAAAAGTATAAATGTGACCGTGTAATATAGATGCAAAACACAGTTGTAAGTGTTGGATTCCTGGATTCTTTATTGCATGGATCCCGTTCAACATAAACAATAAATTGAAAATCGGCCCTATTAGAAATAAAATACAATAAGTAAATGACATCAAACAATATATATTCACTTCAATGCAGTCCTCATACATCGACACGGATTTTACTAAAAATAGATTTAAGGAGGATCTCTACACCTATAAAGTAAAACTGATTTTTGTTGCATGCATTTGTTTCTAATAATAGGCTCCATATCCGATAAAATAAGGTTTCAAAGTATTTCAATTTATTTTTTTAGAAATATTTGAAATATTTTATTTATTTTGTTAAATATTTTTAAAAGCCCAGTGCTTTAAATTTCTCTTCAAAGTTTAATGTTATAAAATATTGAAATAATAACCAACAAAGTTAAAAATAAAACCAACATAATTTTTATTTAAATTTACAAAAATGGACAAAAGAAAAACTAAAACAGCATTTTCAGAGTATGAAAATTTATATAATATCAAAGGGTAAAAACAATGAAAAAAAAAGAAATTGAACAAAATTGAAAAACTGTCAAAATTTTCAAACATCACAAAGAAGGTGTGAAGATTTAAGAGTGGGTCAAATATCTTGTATATAAACTATATAAACTGTTAAAACTTACACAAGTATTAAAAAGAATGTCAAGCAAGAACATTGAAAGAAGTTCGTATTGTTCATGTATTGTTTTTCAAATGAGTTTAAGCGAAAACCATCACATTTCCAGTCAATGACAAATACATGTATAATTTAGTGAATTCATGGTATTGTGAAAGGTAGATTTACTTACCGTTTTTATCCAACTTCTATGTGTTATCCAGTGCTAGATATAACAAAACGTTTTATCCAACTTGTATGTGTTATCCAGTGCTAGATATAACAAAACATGTAAACATGATAAATGGCCAAAAGCGGGTAAAAGAAACTCCTATATATAACCAAATTCACACTTCGTCTAGTCTAAAACCTGCACGTTTCCCATACAAACAGCTGATAATCAATGTTGATCAAACGTTTTGGGCATGCAAAATTCCACTTACTGTCCAAACGTTTTGGTGATTTCATGACGAGTTTAAATTTCACCGGGTATGACCATTCATTCGGGTGTATACAAATCGTGAACAGAGTATCCTCTAGTCGATGGGAAGATAATACCTATGTCTTATCTTCTCAAATTTGCATTTTTGGGGGATATATTATGCTGGAAAGCATATATGTTTATGGAAGAAAAAAGAAATTTCTGAGTGTATGGCGTTTTGACACGTAATGATGAATTAACATATGGACAAGACAAGTTTTTATATCATTTTTTCTCACCTAAAAGTCTTATTCTAATAAGTTTGTACATATATTATTTAATAATTAAATAAGTACAAATTAAATAACTTGACAAACAATTCATTTTTAAAGAAAGGATACGTATTAGGCAATGCACTGTTAATTGAGGTGATACAATGAAAATTCCATCCATAATATCGCATGTTGTGTTGTGTTATATTCAGTGACTTATCAGTGTTAAGTGAATTTGAATCAGATCATTTGGGATCAAAATGGCGTTTCAACGGAAGTACGCCATGTTGTGACGTTGTAGAGAGCCCCCTTAACAGATTGTAAATGTTCCAAGTTCATGAATGAGTAAAAAGGGAAATAACCCTTACAAATTACAGAATTAACAAAATAGTGTTCAGATGGAAATTTCCGTAAGTTTGATTGATTGTATATTGTTTAACGTCCCTCTTGAGAATTTTTCATTCATGTGGAGACGTCACCGTATGCCGGTGAAGGGCTTCAAATTTTGACCTTTACTCGGCACTCAGGGCCATTGAGCAGTGAGGGATCTTTATCGTGCCAACGCCTGCCGCTGACACGGGGCCTCGGTTTTTGAGGTCTCATCCGTTTCAAAAGTGCCGAGCGCATGGCGAAGGAACAGTTGCTACCCATTTTATCGACTGGGTCAGTCGCGGCCGAGATACGAACTGTAATGATATTTTATGTTGATTGTTATTGGATTAAAACTTAATATTTTCATAATATGCGCAAATATTTTTTTAAATCGAAAAAGGTCTTCAGCGGGATAAATTCGTTACACAGTCAGTCAGTGACCTAATACGGATTCATACAGGGTGTGGAATGGAAATCCGTATCGGGACTCGGCTTCACCTCTCCCAATACGGATTTCCATTTCACACCCTGTATGAATCCGTATTAGGTCACTAACTGACTGTGTAACTAATAGTAATAGTCGAGACAGACTCGTCTCACAGCCGGTAACGTTCGCTGTCCGTGCGAGAAGGAAGTGCCCCAGCACAACACATCGAACAATAGAAAACTTACCGCCAAAACCCTTGGCCAATAAAACTACGTACTCCGTAATGTCAAAGGTCGACAAGGTCAGCCAGTCAGAATTAGTAACATGCAAAGTGAAAAGTGCAATGATGATAATGAAAACTATAACACAATTTGAGATAAACAAATATTCCTTGTTAATTCTTCATTTATTAAAACCACTCTGCCACATAAACAGAAAAGATTTTTTTCCGTCAATTAAAATTGTAGATAGTTTTATCGTAGATAGTATTATTTTTCGACAATTCTTGTATGAATGACATTTCTTTTTTCATTTTCAATGTTGATTCTATTAATATCTTACACTATTAAAAAAATCTACCGATACTTCCGTTGACTTGACTTCGTACCTTTATACAAACTAAGTGTGGAAATAATGGTAAAGCAATTTATAATGATCCTATGTTTTGTGGCTATATTTATATATCAAATCAATCTTAATGTTCGTGGCTTTCTCGGACATGATTATACATGTGTATTAATGTCCATGCAGAGTTTTAACAGTAAAATGGGCATATCTGCCACGGAGAGCATAGAGGCAGCGAACTACAATATGAATATAACAATAAACTTGCTACAGAGAGAAAATGTCAATGACATGTCATGAAAAATTGTTGTTGTTCAAATATACATGTAGGTAGTAAACTATATGATCTAAGATTTCACACATTTTATCAAAGCTGTAAAAAATGTTCCTTTAATCAATAATATAGGTTCTTCTACACATATACAATATTTTTTGAAATATTAAATAATAAGTCTATACAAAGACACCCCACAAGTAAAGAAAAAATTCCCGCCGAATTCTTTCCAGTTTAAATTGCACATTTTTCTTCTTTTATCCTTAGTGGAAATGGAGAAAAAGAGTAGCAGAGTATAACATATTAACATAGAACAACAGGTACCATATAAAAACAAATTGTTTATACATGTAAACATGCAAGTTAACGTCAATTAATGAAATTGATATTTTTTGAGTTAATAAAAAAGGTATAAGAAGGTGTGGGCGTATCTTATATAAAAGTTTGCACTTTAACTACATGTGGAGATTTTATACAAAATGTGTTTCTTTCTACTATAAGCTTGTCATTTATTGTCAGTAAAAACAATAAGATATATTATATTGGTATTGATTAGCCAGTAGTGGTAAAAATTCAATTCCCTAGCTGTGCTTGACGATTTTTCTACATATCAGAAATTTTCAGGTTGCATCAACTCAAAGGTTGGGATCGCATATGATTGGATTTAAATGGATGCCTTATAAAAAAAACAATTGAGTGAGGGTAGCTGTAATCTATTTATAATTACTAATTACATGAAATCATGAAGAGAAAATGAAATTCATCTTCAACATTTGTTATTTATATTACAAATTCTTTTATCCTGTGGGTATACAAAAATGTCTTCCTTTTTCTAGGCAAGGTTATGAGCACTATCTCAAGTTGCTAATAATTGATCTTCTGTTTTCTTTCTTAATATATCAGTGTATCCCAATAATTTAAAATTATTAATTTTGATATTTACTTCCATATCAGGTAAATCAAATTTCATGCATTGAATTTTCTTTGTTTTATGCTTCTCAGAAGTGTTTTTATTGAATTTTCTTTTTTAGTAATGAATGAAAATCCTAACTTGTTGAAAAGTGAAAAAATATTTTTAGTCCATGAGTTTGTTTTGACTGTTGTTTTATAGATTTTAAATGCTAAAGTATTCTTGGAAGTAATAAGATGGTTCCAAAATTTTATACTTGAAAACTGTATTTGTCCACAGGGGTGAAATAAAATTGTAGATTTAGATTTTAAAAATGTACTCCTAAAATTTAAATTAATAAACTTCATGTGAAATTTTTCAATTATAGAATTTTCAATAATGTTAAACACAAAAACAGCTGCACGAGAATTACATGGTATTATAATTGGCCTCCTTAAGTTTTCAGACACAGTTTACATGGATTATCCAAACCAATTGTTTTCTTGCATTTTAGAAATAACTTTTAAACCTTTTCACTAAGAAGACATTGCTAAATTTACTTTCCATACAATCATTTCAAAGTTAATCCAAGATATTGAAATTTTGAAACTGTTTGAAGAAAATTTCCAATTTATATGAACTTTCACAAAATTAGAAGTTATCTAAAAATATTCATACTACATATTAACCTATATTAGTTAGAACAATATGTTTCAAGGATTTCCAATTTTGTAACCCAGTATTTCTTGCAATAAAAAACAATATCATAATATATATTTATAAATATCCAAAAATATTTTCTTTAAAGCTATATAATTTTTTCAAATTCGAAGAAAACATTTTTCTTCAGTGTACAGTATATTATGAATATCCAAAAATATTTTCTTTAAGGCTATATAATTTTCTCAAATTCGAAGAAAACATTTTTCTTCAGTGTACAGAGGGTCCTTGATGAAGAGAGTACATTTCTATGAGAGAGAGAGAGAGAGAGAGAGAGAGAGAGAGAGAGAAACTCGTACATATCACAGAAAACGCCTTGAATTAAACCTGATACAAAAAATACCGATGCAATGTGTAACATGCATTTGGATAACGCATTGAGAAGGGAGTTAGGGTTTTGACACATATACGGTCAATAAATGTGTCATCTTTATGTCTTATTAATAACGAACAATACAAACCGATACTAACCTATCGCTGTCCACATTAATCGTCACCCATGCATGACAAACGAGCGGCCGATTTGCATGGAGCGATTCTTTTCGCGCGGAAGTGGTTTAAAGGAAGGTATCTGGTTCAAAGGAGGAAAATGGAAATTATATAGAGAAAATGTGAGGTAAGATTTATTTATACACTTTTAATAATAATTATCTAAAAAAAAAAAATGAAGTGTGGTTGGTACTTAATTCCACCCATCTATTTATGCATATATATATAGAGATATTTCTATAACTTATCTTTTATATTCCTTTATCTAAAAAAAAAAAAATCGACATCCATAATTGTGGTTCTAGCTTAGGCCATTGATCTAACATTATCACTTCAAACGGACGCCTGTGGAGCAGTTTGACAAATGTACTTACCATTACTTAATTATTTTTAAGCTTTTAGATAAAGTTGTTTGCCTGAACCACTGCCTTTTGAGAGGACAGAAGAACAGCAGCCTATTTTTTGCTTTTCTTCTTTTTCTCTCTTCAAGGAAACAATTACCTTCATTTGTAGAGATTTGAAACTCCTGTCTTGGAGATTTTTGTTGTAAAATTTAGCTAAGACTCTTAAAATTTACGCGGGGGTTAAACATTGTTAATCCTTCATAGAGATCGCATGGGTGGCAAAGACAATTTTGAAACAACAAATTTTTAATAAATTTGAAAAAAAAACGTATAAAATTAGGATTAAATATCTTTTATATAGGACATGAATTTTAAAATTTTCATATTGAAAACGTGAATTTGTAGCTTTTTTTTTTTAGTATTTTCTGTTGATTTTATAAAAAAACTGGTTTAAGTATATTTATAAAAGGTCATGTATGAAGTTTCTCTGAAATTTCATTACCCCCCTTAGAATGCAAACTTTCTCTTGCATTATACGCCATGGATATGGAAGGGAAAAATTAATTCAGATCATTATTACCACGGAAACCTTACCCAAATTATTTTCCCAACCTTTCTTTGTGGGTGGACAAAATTGCTTATAAGGCATACATGCAAAACAGTGAATTTCCCTTTTTTATCGTGATAAAAAGAAAATATTTTTTTTAATGTTTAAGTAGCACAAATAAAAACTGCTTACAGTCGCTAAAGAAGTAAAAAATGGAAATATAAATCTATACTACAGCAGTTCCGTGTCAGACCTGGAACACAAGGTAAACCTTCTTTTTCCGTAGTCTTATATTAAATCGCGTCATCCTCAAACCCAGCTACGGAGAACCTCTAGACTGAATCAAGATGTATATTTTTGAAAAAAAATTCCCTCATTTGCTTTCCCTCAAAATTATACATTGCTTTTATTGAATGATGGATATTTTACTTCCGTATCATGTTTCAGAGCAAGGGGTTGAGGGTGCGTAATGGAGGAAGTTTAGTTCTGAAAAAATGCAGACTCCGCGGGCTCCTTGTAGGGTTTGTTGCTTATTATAAAAACAAAATATGTAAACAACTGAAAGAACAATATAATGCACACAGGAACAGTTCACGAGTTCAGAATAATAATTGTATAAGTATTGGGAATTTTATATTTTTCATGAATTCCACCCCAGCAATTAATAAATGTAGCGCAATCAGTTAAAAACAAACTTAAAAAAAACAAGTTTGGAAAAAATGATATTGCATAATTTTGTTTCTCTCTTTTTGTTGTTGAAATTCATATTTTTTTTTTCATCAATTTGCCTCTTTTTATAGTAACTGAAAATCCTGAACCTACACTAAGTTTGTATTCTTAAACAAACAACATTAGTAACAAATCACAATGATTCATTCATTTAGAAATAGCTTATATAACTTATAAAACTGAAATCTACTGGTGATTTATATAATTAGCATGAAGTTTGAGATTTTCATGCTTCAAAGTTAGTTGAGTTACATTTATTGTAATAAGATTAACATTTTGATTTAACATATAATTTAGACATAAAAAACCTTGATTATAAATTAAAGTTAAAAATGCATCATTTCGTTCGTACAGCCAGTAATATAGAATGACACAAATGCGTCATAGCTATATTACAATTTTCTTTAATGCGTGTGTTTACTATATATTTATATTCTATTCAGTCCAAAGTTTTCAAAAATTTGAAATGAGAAATTATAATCTAGGATTTTTTTGTGTAACATCCCCCCCCCTTCACCTATCTTCTAGAACTCTCCACACTTGATCAGTTTTTATCACTACATTCATTATCATGTTTATTATTACTATTAGTTATCTTAACAGCACGATGACCACTGAGAAGTCTCTCTGGTCGACACAAGCTGGCTTTTTACTACGTATTTGGACAGAGCTCTGGTTTTTGCTATTTTTGTAAAAAAAATATATGACGTCTTATCGTGAGGTGCCAGTTTGTTTGTCCATAACGAAAAGACGTGGGCATATATGATAATCTATTGAAATTACCTGATTATTACAATAAATAGTAAACAATACGCGTTATATTTTAGGCTAATAATCAAAAATCCAAAAGATGTGTCAAAGCAATCATTTCTCTCTAATAACGCGATCGACAAAAGGTACGCCGAAATACTAAGAAGAGAAAAAAAACTTAATTTAAACTACTAAGTATTACAGACATTTCTGTTTGTTCAAAAACAGGAAAATACATACTTTTCCTACACTCCCTTAGGCTTCTAAAAGGAAATGTTTGTAGTGTTATCAGATTTTCTTTCTTTTTTTATACAGGAAGCGGAAATAACACCAGGATGTTTGCAACTCTTGGCATCCTCCTGAATCTTTTGGGTCACGTGATTTCACATGGCTACCTTGACTGGCCAGCCCAACGTTCGTCGTTATGGAGACACGGGTTTGACACGCCTAAGAACTACAACGACAACGCACTTTATTGCGGAGGACGACAGGTTATTTTTGTTTTTGTCATAACCAACAGCTATCGAATTTAGATTAAGCCTTAATTTGACGCCAAGGTTGATGAATCTTCAGATATCAACCCCAAAAAATGGTACCATGACAAACTATTAATTTTTCAAACACATCATTGGTAGAAAACTGTATAATTATGTTGGCATCAATTTTGTCTAAGATGCGTAAAAAGATTTTAAAGCGAATGCCATACTTATATCATAAAACATTTGAATAAATGAAATGTTGAATTTTATTCCAATCGAAAATTATTAAAAAAAAAAAAACAAAAAAAAAAAACAAAACTCTGATAGTGGTCTCTAGATATTAAAAATTTAATTACGAAGTGTAATTTATTAAAATAAAAAAAAAATCTTACTTATGCTTCAAAATTTATCAGTATCTTACAGTGAAGTTGTTTTGAAATTTCAGTAGCTTATTTGTTATTTTTCCTTTCTGTAAAGGCTCTAATAAAATCTAAAGGTAAATGTGGAGTGTGTGGGGACCCTTATTTTGGAGCCAAAGAAAACGAAGCAGGAGGCCTTTATGCACAAGGAGTAATTGCAGAGTCGTATCCGATAGGGACCCAATATATCCGAGTTACTGTAAAACTTACAACACATCACAAGGGATTTTTCGAGTTTCGAATCTGTCCGCATAACAATCCGAGTATTCCTGTATCACAGGAGTGTTTGGATCGACATCTTCTTCACATCCAGGAGGGAGACAAGGGGAGTGGTTATACCCGGTATTATCCAGAGAAACACAGTGGAGTTGATATTTATCACCTGCATGTTGAGATCCCGCCTGGCATGACGTGTTCACAATGTGTATTTAACTGGCGCTATAAGACAGGTACAATGTTTCTACGTATTATAATTCAGAAAGTTAATGCAGTTTGCCTTACATGTAAGCTGCGATAAATATAAAGAAATAAATAAATGTAATTTTAAATTTAAAAAATCCAATGTATCCTGTTTTTCCAATGAAAAATGTTTAAATAGTAAATCCCATTTGCCGAATTTATGAAATACAGACGATTAATAATACTTTTTAGCTTTAACATAAAAATTCCACATAAAATTTTCAGGAAACAGTTGGGGGACGGACCCCAATGGCAGGAGCTGTGTTGGATGTGGATTGCAAGAGGAGTTCCGAAACTGTGCTGATATTCGGATTGGGGGCGATACATCTAGTGCTTCAACAGAGGTGGATATATTCCCTGATTCAAACTCAGGAGGTAGCGAAGAAGTTTCTTTGTACAATAATCAAGGAAATTTCGGACTTATAGCAACATCTAGTGGCGAAACGAGTGATATTATAATAGATAACTCAAATGAAAATTATGGATACCGGTCAGATAGCATCGTACAGAGTGAGGAGGTAGTTTCAATAGATCCTTTCCATAATGATAAATCAGAAGAAAATGTTTTCATAGAGGAACAATCTGTGCCCCTTCCAAAAAGGAATAATATGAGATCACCAGAAAGAGACTTTTCGGAATTTCATCACACAAGGCAACTAATTAAACCAAGTGTACATAAGCACAGTAATAGGGCAATGTTGATAAATAATAACAACGTAAATACTAGAAACATAAATAATATGAGAACAGTTGTAACTGAACCCACAAATACATTTGTAACACAAAGAAATGGACGTCGCTTTACAAACCAAAATCAGATGTCACCAACTATTCAAAATGGGCCACGCAGATTTGATATATCTAAGAATGTAAAAGGAGGAAATAGTTTATTAAAAGCACAAAGAAGTAATCAAAATGAAGCAAATATTCAGCGGGTTCGAAATGAAATGAAAAACAAAAGAGCCAGGGAAATTTTTCTGAGACTCCAAGCTATCAGAAACATGCGTGCTGGTTTATTAAAGCGGGATAGTTCTCGAGTTGCAGCCGAGAAAGTCGGAAAACAATCTACTCGCAGAGAACCAATAATGAAAAAGCCAGATAATAAAAACATACTTCTACTATCACCGGGTACTGGAAACAGCTTTTCTAGAAATGATAATGGACCTTTAAAAACAAGAGTTCCAAACAGAAGGATTCCTTTAACAGCCAAGTCTACCATGCCAAGAAATCTTTTCATTCTTCAAAATCCCTTTAGTACAAGAACCCCGGCTCCTTCCGCGGCCAGTTCTTCAAAAAGGACCCTAAATACTTTTAGACAAAACCCTACGAATAGAAAACGAATTCTTCAACAACCTTTAGAAAGATCACCAATAAGAAGGCAGGGTAACCAACATACACTCAGAAATCGTGTAAATAATGAAAATAATGTTCTCAGAAGAAGAGAAAGAGTTCCTGCAAACCAGAGAAACCCAGTGAGGGAAAATATAGGGTCAAGACCCATCTCTGAAAACGTCAGACAAAGTGCGCCAAATGTAAATAGAAGAGGTCAATTCTCTGCAAATAACAGAAATAGTATAAGACGCGGGAATAGAGCAAGGAATTTTACGTCTGCAAACAATAGAAACAATTTTTCGAGATGGGAGAGACAAAATCAATTCACACCAGTGAGGCAAGGTACCGCAAGTGATTCTCGAAGACGAGCCTTGAATTTTAGTGCTCATCGAAATAGACTGCAAAGTGCTCAAAACAGGCGGGTTCCAAATACGAACGCCTTTCAAAGACAGTTGTTACTTTCAACAATGCAACAAAATCCGCAACGAACATCTGTAAGGCGTAGTAATCAGGGAGCGATGGGTAGAAGACAAGCTCTTCCACCTAGTAGATCCAGAACTGTGTCCATGAGACAGAGCTGGGGAGTTCAGAATATAAACAATTCTAGACTTTTATCTAGTCAGCGTGGAGTGCTGGATTCTTTAAGGAGACAAAATTTTCCACAACGGTCCAATATATTTTTAAACAATAGATTTTTAACCTAATTTTGAGATAAGTCCATCAATTTTATTTAGAAAGTTAAGTGAAGAAAAAGAACAGAGTCCTCGAGAAAAATGTCTTCCGTCCTTTATTTATTCATTGTTAAAATATATAGGACACGTACCAATAAACACATTGTTACGCTACGCATTCGTTATGCTATACATGTAATTCTCTTTCAAAGAAAATTATGTATTCTGTGTGAGTTTAAGTGAGATTTTCTAATAATATTTTGTCCGGTGTACAGCCGTCTGTTCCGTCTTTCAAAGTCACATCTTAACTGAATAGCTGTCATTTATTAAAAAATACGATAAAGCCAACTAACAACTAAGTTGTATGACAAACGAAAAGATTTCAATTTTTCCATCGTCATCTTTCCTTATTTAAGAAGTAATATAACCTGCATATAGTATTTAATTTTCCCACAACTTATTTATACTAAAGAGCATGCTCAAAGTACGATCAGTTTTAAACCGTAGAAGGATAGTGACAGATAAGTTGATGATGCTGGGATTTCAAAGACCGTTTAAAATTAGCATTCTTTAAATTCTATGATCGTTATAATAAACAAATATAACCGATCATTGGGTCGTATTTAGACTGACTTGTTTTATACCAATTGTTAGGTATTTGTTTTAACAGTACTCAGTTTGACTATGGGATGTTCCGTTTAGCTGATCTTTATTTAGGGCTCTTGGTGGGTGCTACAGCCGCGTGCCATAAATGAGTTCGCAAAATGGCCGACTTCGCGTCATAACATTTGAAATTCGATATGTAAAATTTTGGTTTGTATTTTTTTTTAAATAAAAATTAAAATCTCCTTCCTTACTTGGTCAATACTTTGTGATATGTCCCCGAGAACGTACAACTGTCCGAATCCTTCTTGGAAGGCTTTGATATAGGCCATAAATCTAGACCAAAAGGAGATTACTCCAAGTGTCTTGAACAACTCGTTTTAGGTCGTTGGCATTTCCTATCTCGTTCGCTCTCCTTTGCACACGTAATTTTAACATTTTCCATACATTTTCAATAATGTTAAGGTCTGGGCTCTGTGGGGGCCAGGGAAGTGTTACGATATTATTATTCTGCTTCCATTCATTTGATCTGGCGGACACATGACACAGAACGTTATCCTCTTGAAAAACCCAGCGGCGATTTGTGAAATGCCTAGCAACCACAGGCCAGTGACACTCGTCCAAAACTTCAATATACTTTTCACTTTTCATATTTCCATCTACAATTTTCAGTGTACTTACTCCATGAAACGAAATACAACCCCAGAACATGACGAATGTTCGACATGTCGTCTCCCTATCACCACGCAAACCAAGGCACTCTGGTCTTAATCTTTCATCTGCTTTTCTCCAAACATGTAATTTATTGTTATTTCCTAACACTATCTTCGTTTCTTCATTAAAAATGATAGATGCCCACTGATTCGGCACTGTCTAGTGTAGTTTTTTCACGATTCGTCCGAGAGACTGTTTTTTTTTTTTAAACAACGCAACGTTTGTACCCTTCTTCATTTAGTCGTCTTTTTAGTCCTTAAGGACACACCACACCCAGTTCTTGCATTAAATCTACCTACAATGTCTTTAAGGGTCTGTCTTCTATTCTTTTTCACACTCCGCATCAGACACCTGTCATCGCGCACCGTCGTTTTTCATCTCCTTCCACTTCGTGGCGAATTTTCACTTCCTAGTTCACGCACACGTTTCAGAAATTTTTGGATGGTTTTTGCATGTATTCCTATTACATCCTGTATTTTGTAGCTTGAATAACCCTCGTTAGACATCTGTAGAATTATTTCTTTTTGCTCTGTTGTCAACTCTTTGCCATGAGGCGCCATGTCGCTAAGCAGACGATAATTGTTTATCAAAGGGGAATAATTCAATTTTATTTGCAATTTAAAAAAATGATTAAGTCGTACGAGTTTTAAAGCCGGAAATCGTATACGGATATGTCGTAGTTAATTTGTAAAAACGTTTTATTTTAGATTTACTGCATACAAAATTACTAAGTCGGCCATTTTGCGAACTCATTTATGGCACGCGACTGTATATTTAGGACTCTTGGTTGGTGCTATATTTGGACTCTTGATGGGTGTTGCTGGTCAACAGTGGATGGTAATTCCTTCTAAGCATTTTATCCCACCTCTGGATTTTGGAGGGACCTGCGTTTATGTCCTCTTAACAGATTTATATCGTTTATAATTTTTTAAATTTTTTAATCATCACCATTTTCTATAATCGCACATTGATTTTCTCACAGGATAAATAGACGAAATAAACGAGTAGTTTGTAAACCCAATAGGTACTTTGCTTGAGCGGGATAAACACCAATGACGACAGAGCAATAGTGCATAACATCGGTAATAAAAATATACATATTGAGAAATTTAATTTTGATTCACTCAAAGAGTAAAAATATTTTTTTAATTAAAAATATTATTGAACAATTTTAATATCAATTAAATCTTCTCAGAAAAATAATATGAGAAAGAATTACAATCCTTTAGAGCCAGCCAAGTAAATATGAAAATATGAAACTGATGTGGAAACATTCTGAAATAGTCAAGTTCAAATTTGTTGAATTGATAATCCCCCTCCCCCCTCTTCCTGAGGAAGGAGAGAGCTACAATGGACACTCTCATTTGAAAAACAGGAAAATAAGTGAAAAACTTAAGAACAGGAAAGCAATAATAAGTCATATTTATACGGAAGCATCAGATAATGTTAAAAATTTGTGAACATCATCTCAGGGAGGGGATGGGATGAGGGGAACACAAAAGCTTTACTTTACAAAAACGTCATGATTTTAACCTACCTATGGACTTTTGCGAAGACACTTACTTTTACAGTTGAAGGCTTACTATGACATTTAAACCTGCGCTATGTATACGGAGGTACGGAATTGATAAAAGATAGGAAAACATTCATAGAGGTTAAAGTTATGATATTAGGGGCTTTGACATTATTTACGAAACACAAAATATAGTTGGAGGTAGAATAACATTAATTTAGATATCTTATTCACGAGAATAAGTATATCCTTTTATTTTCAATAACTTGAGAAATTTAATAAAGAAGCTAAGACACATTTTAGTAGGAAAACTCAGCAGGAGTTAGTTAAGGTTGGAAAGGAGGGTGTTGAGGGTAGGAATGTTGCCGTTTCCTTCCTAGACAACGTAATATGGGCTTTGAAATAGTCCGTTAATATCGCTTTATTAAATATTAAGCTAAATATTTTTACACAAAAGAGCCTCCGTATATTTTCTGGTGTCGAGTGTAAAAGTCAGCGCTCGTCGCAAAAGTTCGATTGTCAACTTCCTCTAGTTATTCAGAAAAAATACCATTATCGCTTATAAATTATTACCTACATTTCATGGACAAGCACAATTTGGTTTTTATTCCTGGGGACGTTATTTCGTGGGTTACTCATATCAACAGAAGATTTAATGAATATTAAATATGTTGAAAAAAATAATCCACGAACATTGGTCCCTCACAGACATTGATGATTGTACAGTCAAATTTAATATAGATTTTGAATTCATATACAATAACAACTCATTTGCTTGTCCTCGATAAATTAATTTTTTCATTATTTAGAAACATGTTTTTCACCGTTTCATTGATTGTTCACCCCAAGCATTTAATTTTCGATCCAGTCTGACATTTGAGAATGAAAAGGTAAACAACTCCTGTGATTAAATTTTTATGTGCTTATATCAGCCGTTCATAAGTATATCTTTATGTACGAATAAATGAACCGAAAAACTAATGATTACATGTGCTAGACACTACTGTTAAAGTAAAGTACATTGAAATCAGTGATATTTAGGTAAAATTGTCATTTTTTTCTCTGTGAATAAAATTCTACTGTCTATTGTGGTAAACTTTTAAAACTTTTGAATTCTAAAAGTTACATACAATTTGTTTTCATTAAAATACAAAATGCACACAGCAGGTGTGACCGGTCAGCAGGGGATGTTTTCTCTTCCATTTCACATGACCCCACCTCTGATGTTTGGGAGGTACGTGTTTGCTCTGCTCCTATTTTGTATTGTTGAAAGACCTTTTGAGTCTGAATACTGTTCGTTATCGCCATATATTTCATTATCAATTTACTTTGTCAAATTTTCAAAAAAAGATAACGTTTTAGCATTTGAACCAACAAGTATTCTTCGTATACAGTCTTTGCTTACTTCTTATATTCTTCTTTGTACCCTTGTCAAGTATCAAAACATTTGCTCTCAAATTTGGTATTTAATATGGTCATCAAAAACGTATATGGATATTGATAAAAGCTTTTAAGCAGGACATTCCAAATTAACTAGTACATATTCCAATTTTACTAGTAACTATTTCTTTTCTATCTAATATAACTAAAAACAAACATATACATTATTTTCCATATTTCCTCTCTACTCGTCATTCATGAGGATATTTTAATTCAAATCTATTTCAAAGGAAAATAACTTATTTTCCTTCGATATAGATCTAAATGAAAATATCCTTGTATTGTTTATTCTATTTTTTAGATTAATGAGCGTCTGTTATTTTATAAAACACACGCCCATAAATCTGAAAAAAATACAATAAACAATAAAAGTCTATGAACACGGACCCTTGAAAATGCTAAAGATTGGATTATGTGCCATTAGGAGAAAGCGTTCCCTGTTGATCGGTCACACCCGCCGTAAGATCTATGTATTGATGCAGTCGAAGGAGCATTCCTTATTCTAATTCAGTATAAAACAAAGGCCTAAGAATCTGTTTGAAATACTGCATGTCGGCTAAAAACAAACCAGTTATATGTGATATTTGCTAATATTCATTATAACCAACCATAGAATTTACGGATACTGACTTTAAACGAGGTCGTTAAAATTCCTGAAACATCAGCATATCTGTAAGAAGCTTGCCGCAGTCTAAAATTGTTCATTATCGGGCCATGCACTTAAAAATCGAATACGTTGGAAGAATTTCACACCATATGCAGGTGACAGCGAATAATAACTGCATAAGAAAAAAATTATGCATTATGTTTGTTAGTACATAGTCGAACTAAAGTACCTTCATTTTAAGCCAAAACATGATATATCAATTTTTCTCTGTAAATATTTTTTTCATCAATATACTGAAAGGAAAAAGAAACGCAGGGTAGCATAATATTCGAAAACTTTTTGACTGCATGACTGAGAATTACGAAAATTGGTCAGATGAGAAATTTAGTTACTATGCACCAAAATTAGTCTTAAGAATTACTCAACCGTAAAATGTATGACGTCACGTGGGGAAGACGCTAAAAATCCAAAAATACGTGCAATTTGATGACAACGAGTTTGTCAACAAATCTTTTGCACAAATTGATGCACCTGAGGTATACACATTGTTTTTCAATGTTTAGAGACGATATGAATTTTTTGCAATCTTGGTACAGTTTACGGAAGTTCAATAGGGTCTGATTTTCGAATTGCCTAATCAATGAAAAAGGCAACAACGGGTAACTACGCAGTTTCTTGTAAATTTTCCCCCATAAAACTTGTAACCTGTTGTCAGAGAGGGCCTGGAATGGTTTTCAATCAACCGTGACGATGACGTTAACGCGAAACAGAGTCATGTTACGAGCGGGTTATTCGTCCTGCCATCTCTTAAATTGCAATCCTACTACCACAAAAACCGCCTTTTATACAGTAGACTATTGTATTCATTACACCCACACGAAAAATGAAAGAAAACAATTCCGCAATTTGGTTTTTTGAGCCAGTCAACTTATTGCTGTGTTCCTCTCACTGGCGCATGTGCACGTCGCATGACTAATTTTTTGGAGTGGTTACCTATGCCTAATTTAGTCTGGGTTTGAAAGATACTCACTTTGATGAATTCCATGCAAAGGAGAAATAACGCTCATGACAGATGTGCAGGAGAGACGTACATTGCAGATAATGAGAGTTGTCGATTTTCACTTTTCGGGGTACCGTCATATGAGCTTCAATAACTCATGAATTGTTAGACAAAATCAAATGGGATTTTGGTTATATCTTTTTGAAAGATGATTTTAAAAGTTAGATAGGAATACTGAAAAAAATTGAAAGAAAAATAAATTTAATTCACCTCAATAGTTTACCCTGCGTTTCTTTTTCCTTTCAGTATAGATGTATCTAATTTCTTAAAATTTCGATCAGTAGTTTTCTGATATTAAAAAGATTTTTTTCTTGACTTCTGGATATTTAGGAAAAATTATCATTAATATGTAATCATATATTACAAAAGCTCTAAATTAAAAAAAAAATACAGAATAAGTTTTCGTAGTAAATCAGAGTATCAAAGTACTTACTATAGTTAGGTTGTTGAACTATAATAATACAACAAAATATTGTGAACTATAGTTAACTATAGTGAATTTTTGTTAGGGCTAATAGTGGCATAACAATCAATATGAAAATGAGAAGAGTCAGTCAGCATTCAACTTAATGACAGATTGCATTTGCTGACAAAGAAGTTGTATCGGCCATAGAAGTTGCAGACTGTACATCTTGAACGAGTCTGTCGATATTATCAGCTTGTTATTAAATATGTTACATGTTCAATATATATATTTATTTTTTTTGCTTTACATAAAAATGGTACGCTATCAACAATTGCTGATACTGCATATCTAGTTCTAGGTTTGTGTTACTGAAAACTCCCAAAATCCAATTTCACAGTGAAAATTTTCATTTTCTACAACATTATTATTTCCATATGAGTCTGGATTTAAAAGTTTTCACGGTTGAGAGCAGTATCCTTTGAAACAACGTAAAAATGACGCAACAGAGATCATACTGTTAATTTTTGGTAACCATTTGGTCATTTCTGTTTGTCACATGATCTCAATCCTTCCTCTTGGCATTTATGAAGAAAATTAATAAATAATGGCATTGCGTAAGGTACACAAACTGGGATACACAATAAATTCAAAGACGCAGGTTGACTTCCTTCGAATACATTAATATCAGAATTCAAAATATTTAGTAGGAAATATTTTGTTTTAAAATCAACTTTGATTAAAATCGAATGCAAAATAAATTTATAGTTGTAAATATCAACTATGGTCATAAAACTGCGTTTAATTATATATTTATGAGAACATGCTGTTGAGATTCAGGCGTCTTTTAACCAAGTAACAATATTTATCATATATTAGTAATTTACGATGATTTTATACATTGTTTTGTAGCAAAATAATCAGAACTTTCAACCCAGAGTTAAAAAGAATGATACACTTAAAAACCATTAACAGAGACTCTGCAAGATTTTGGGGCAAAGAAATCGGAGTCTGTTAGCGTATTTGCAATTCTTACATTTTATAAGTTAACGGGGGTTTACTAATCAATCATGATGTCTGCATGTGAAAAGGTGGACGAGTTTGGAGTACTTTCCCAATTGTACCTGCCATATTATACTGGCTTTTCATGATTTTCTGTGGATTCAAATTCTTAGTCATATTTTAGGATCGAGCTTGTGACTTGCTATTCTGCACTTGGGTATTGAAACATATTTATTTCCTACTGCTTGCTGCTTAACTTTTAAATTTCAGCAACAAAGCATAACAATGATTCTATAGACTTGTATTTACAATTCTACATAAAAAAAAGTCCATTATATGTTTCTGCATGAATGGTCAGACGAGGTTCTAAACAGGACTTTTCTTCATTTTTTGAAGTAAATGACCCCGATGGTTACTAGTATCATTAAACCTACATTGTCCAAATGTACCTTAGAAAATGTACGACCTAGGATGCATTCGGTATTATATTATCACACATAAATCACATTCGTGATTCATTTAATCTGTATTTTCTGGTTCAGTGATTCTGCTATTTAAGTTTTGATTTAGAGCCATTCCCATTATACTTTAACTATCCAATGACAAGGATGAACATATGGTATAATCAGAATGTATTGTACTTCAGTTATTCTTCGAATGTTGTGTGCTATTGTAGCAATTCACTGACATATTCCTTACTATTATCAGAAGCTTCCTCTTGGTACATGTATGTTTACTCGTATTCATGCTTAGTTGAATTATATCCATTTTAGTGAGTCATGAAAACAACGTTTTTCCAAACGTTTCTAAAGTTTAATAAACACATGCAGATTTTTATGTAACTATGTAAAGTCCCTTTCTGTTTTTATTAATCTTTTTATGAATAATTCGTTGATAATCCCCAGTCATACTGATTCAGAAAGTTTATATAAAACTATCAATACGCTAAGTTCAGCAAGACTTTTTATTGCCAATCTAAATACTAGTATTACGAGGATCCCAGCAACATTTTACAAGAAGACTATTTGATGTAATTTTATACTAATCTGACTAGTTTTAGCGTAAGCTTGCTGTTCGGGGTCAGTCTCAAGTTTCCTCAGAACTTTTGCCTTTCATCGCTACGTGAAATTTACATAAGAGGATAAGAATTTAATTTTTCATTTCATTTGATTTTTGATCCTTCCGTTAAGATTGGAACTATGATCTTATTTCCATATATGTACATGTATATTGTGTAATCCTCAACGACATTTTAGATGTTCTACTAAACTACAGAGTCTTGTGGGCTACGTGATATTGTGTTCTTTAACAAAACAATGATAAACTATATCAATTGTTAAAGATCATGACTTTTAAACAATAGGCGATACTATTCTACGCGGTTGTTATAAAAATGATTGGAATATGAATTACACCAATTTTTTGTTAAAAATTAAATAATGTAATAAGGCATCAATTAGCGATGCAACCTCAATCTAGATGCAAATTACTTGCGTAATTTTCGTTTTGCACACACTCTCACACAAGCACGTCATTTTCCCCTTCAACAAAAATGAATCATTCGGTTTTTAAAAATTTATTCAGCGAAATATTTAAAATGAAGAAGAATTTGAGAAAAGAAAATACAGAAAAATTATCAATATCAATGAAATGATAATCAAGAAAAAATACATGAGATATGGTTAATTTTATCCAAAGGATCAATGAAGTCTATCTCCCCCCCAAAATTTGAACTCTAAATTTAATAAATTTAAATAGACTATTTTCCTAATCCAAAAAGTCTTTGCCGATTTATCTCCATCTCGGACCTCATTCTTTGGCGTCCACTCGCCGCTAACATGTCCGCTAAAGATGACAAGGCGCCATTCACAGATAAACGTTGTCGTTTAATTGTATAAATGGGTAACTCATCGTTGGTCTTAGAACTATACTGAGCCAAGTCTCCAGACTCTTCCGAACTCTCCACATCGTGCAGCTGTCTTTCTGGTAAGGTGTTCCTTTTGCCGAATTTGAACAATTTCTTACGAATAGAATCGTACGGGGATCGACTTGCGAGGTAACGTTTTCGATGGGCCTCGAGCATGCGCGCTAGACTCCTTAAATCAGCAGTTAGAGAGAGTCTTCCACGCTTTTCCATTGGTGACGAACCTTCTTCTAGACTGGAAGACCCGACCGGTTGATTTTCCTCCTCTTGTAATATATATGATTGCGAGCATGTGCAAAGGATTGATGTTATAAATAAAGCTGCTAAATTCATTTTCATATTCATCTGTAAAAGAAATAATGTACACGTATTAAAGAACGCCACAATTTGTCCAAATATTGTCAATTAATGAAATGACTCTAAACCAAAGAAAAAAAGGATTTATCAACTAATTATTACAGGATCTAAGAACCATAAAACACTTACGTTTCTTGTTGTTCTTTCTTGCTCTCTGGGAAAGATGCTTGATGTTTGACTTTTAAATGACAATCTGAAAAGACCAAAGTGTTAATTATTAAGAGTATTTCATTGGAGGAAATTCCGTACGTCAGCACACCTACTGTTACATGTCATTTCTTATCAAGTTAGAAGGGGAGGTACGATGCTTGCTAACATGCAAAAGATATTAAGCTTGTAGTTATTGTTTCAGTTGGAAAAGAGTCGATGGTTAAAACATTTGAGGTCTCTTTAATTGAAATCATTCATTATACTAAGGCACTGCACTCTTAATATTGACGCACTCTTACCATTGAGAGACAAGTAAGACTGACGCACTCTTACGATTGACGCATATTTAGGATAGACATTCTTACATTGAGTTGTGGACGGATTATTCAGTTTTTTCGAACATAACCAAGAAGGCGCCGCGGATGAGATCGGTTTACAGAGTATGCTCACTCCTCCATGGCACCTGATCCCACCTCTGATGTTTAGGAGGTCGGTGTTTGCTCTGCTCCTATTTTGTAATATTTAATGGACTTTTGAGCTCCGGTACTGTTTATTATCTCCGCATATTTCATTACTACTCATTTACTCTTAAAATTGAAGCATTCATACCTCTCCTTTATCATTTTAATTATAATTATCACTTGAAGAGCAATGCGTGCGCTCTAACTTCTACATATTTAGAGATCAAAAGGTCTTACAACCACATTCTATATCTATCGTTGTTTGAAATCATTGGCAGAGGTTTCATGAATAAATGTTTTTACCTTAATTTTTCAATTATTGATTAGAACGACAAAAGGTGAGAATGTCCGTGACGTATGCTTAAGAAAAGAGTATATACTTATCCATAACAAGTTATTAAGCATTTGACTCCAAAAAGGTTTTCGAAACTCAGATTAAACTAAAAGACATCTGAACGCAAAGTAAACAGAATTTGAATCCATGTCACTTTAAAAAGGAAAAATTAGTAATTTTATGTTAACACATTTCCCCCAATTTCGATTAATCTATTATAGAAAAAATGAACTAAACAAAATGAATCTGCAAAACAATTTAAGATGAACATTAACATTTCTATATGTACATCTGCGTATCTAAATTTTGAAAGATTTAGAACCTTTTATATCTGAAAAATCAACTGCTACGTCAGATTCATTACTTATTCAAATGCCATTAAAAAAAAACTCATATTGTATGAAAATTAAATAAATACATGTATCTACAATTCTATAAAAAAAACATTGACATTTTAGATCGGTATATTTTTCCAGACGAGAAAATTGATAAGAATAGTATGGATCGACTTCAAAAACTGATTCAAAATTTTAGAAAAAATAAAGAAAATAAAAAAAGGGACGGAATGTTTGTTCTGTTAATAATTCAGACATCTGCTGCACTAGGGAAATTATCTTTGCATGAAAATTAACACAGTGAGTTAAAATCTATATTTGAAAGCATCAAAATCTGTCATGTTATTAAAAATGCAAGCTGTAAATGAGAAGATCTCATGATTTTAGATCAATTTTCCTTTCTTTCGATATTTGGATTTGATACATTATTAACAATGCATAAACTGTTTCCAACGTAGGTTCTTCACTTACTCGTTTTTGGTATTAAAAAAAAACGAAGTTAAATATTATACCATAGTTTTGTTTTATTTAGTTACTAAATATTCAGATTATTTTGGCACTCTGACCCCATTAAGAGTTACGATTCTTGTTTCTATTATTTTAAGTTTTGAAATCTTCATGTACATGACGTGATGACGTGAGGAAAATGGGGAAAAACGTTACTACCCTACATCACGTTCTAACGAATGTATCACGTTAAGGCCATAATAAAAATATTCCTAGATTCTCATCCCCGCCCGCCCCGATTTTATACCCCCGCCTCGATTTTTTTTTATTTATGTTTTTCTTCGTCTTAATTATGATCGGGATCGGTATTAATCTACCATTATACTTTCGTTTTAAATACCGCGAAAGTCGACATGATTTTGACAGCTGAAAAGATGGTAATTGCTGTAATACATGCGTATATATGTTAAACAGGGGTCATTGGTTGAAAAAGATTGATGATGATGTGAAGTAAGAGATAATTGAACCTTTACTATGACTTTTATTCGGGTATTGTAGATAAAATTACACCGATTGACCAGGTCAATAAAAAATCTGCAGAATTGAAAAAATATAAAATATAAAATAAAAGCCGCCCGCCCGCCTCGATTTTTGAAAAAATTCGGATGAGAATCTAGCAATTTATTTATTATGGCCTAAGTATTTTTAAGGTTCGGAAAATGATACATTGTTTGCTTTTTGACATATGTTCTATATAAATGCAGTTAAGATACCGAAATCGTTTTGATTGTTAAATAGACTATGTACTGAAATAAATAAAGGAATTTAGCAAATTTAATCATGAACGAATAATATGCAGATACGGAATAGTATTCAAGCTTAAAATTCCACTGAATAATAGAAAATTGAAGCAAAGCAAACACGGGCCTCCAAAACATCAGAGGTGGGATCAAGTGCCATGGAGAACTGAGCTTCCTCTGCCGACCGGTAACACCCACCGAGTGCTTCTTGTTCTTAGAAAATTTTAACTAGCACTTTTTCTTCAAAAATCAAACTCTCCCTTTGATTTAGACCATTCATTTGACATTTACAAATATATATATTGTTAAAACATTGTGATTCAAGGTACTATGAGTTTTTTAGTTATTAACAAAATATACTGTTTATTGTTTTTATTTTATTACTTCTACATGTAAGGAACGATGCAAGTGTTTTGTTGTGGCTTCAATTAGACATTTAGCAAAATCCACATTTTATCAATGAGCAATGTTTTTTTTTTAATTCTCTTATTGATTTGGAATGTGAAATATATGGAGATAACAAACAGTATTCAAGTTCAAAACTCTATAAATTTTGGAGTAGATCAAAGACGGACCTCTAAAACATCAGAGTTGGGATCACGTGCCATGGAGGAGTAAACATCCCATGTCGACCGCTGAACACCGTGTGCTCTTTGTTACACTCGAGAAATAACGAAAAAATCTTTCTAAAATTCAGTGTATTTCAGTTGTCTCGTTTAAAGTCATCATTTCGTAAGTTCTATGGTCGATACAATGACCTTGTCAGCAAATACAATTATCATTGAGTCAAATGCTGACTGACGTTTTTCATACCAATTGTTAGTCCATTATTTATACACTGAATTTTACGGCGGATTTTTCCGTTATTTTACGATCATGACAAGGAGCACACGGCGGGTGTAACCGGTCTGCAGGAGATGCCTCACTCCTCCATGGCACCTGATCCCACCCCTGATGATTCGGAGGTCCTTTGTTTGTTCTGCTCCAATTTTGTATTGTTTTATGGACCTTTGATCTTGAATACCGTTCGTTATCTCCATTTGTTTCATTCTGTGTAAATAATAGCCTACAATATCCATGAAAACATCCATCAAATTTTGATTTAATGATACCTGGTAGATTGTATTTGGTGACAATGTCATTGTTTCAACCATGGAACTTACGAAATGATAAATTTAAATGAGAATACTATTCTTGTTCCATTCTCTTGATTGTTAAAATTGCTTACAATGTCATTCTATTGACCACAGAAATTACGAAATGTGACGACGTTAAACGAGACTGCTAATATTGTATTTCATCAACTCTAAATAAAAGACAATACAGAGGCCGACGCATCTGTTTTTTATTTGGTTGTTTTATTTACTACAGATTGACACTAATGGTAAACTGAAAAATTAACTTTATGATAAACGTGATGACTTCAGCTTATATATCGTCAACTTTCCTACTTATACAGCAATATGATTCCATTATTATCATAATACGAATAGTATATGAAGATTAAGTCTTACAATTTTTTGATAAGCGAGAACATGATCTGTATTCATTTCCAACAACCTTACGTTTTCTACCGTTCAATTAATGAAAAAAAATCTTACAATAAACATTTTAATTTTATGGTCGACACAATAGCTTTATATTTCAAAAACAATCTTTCGTTAGGTCAAATGTTGACTAATTTTTTTTTCATACAAATTTAAGGCCATTTGTAAATGCAGCGATTTGAATTTTTGCTTATTACGACAAAGAGAAGAGTCTTGATCGGTCTTTAGGGGCTTGTTTATTCCCATTGCACACCTGATCCAATGTTTATTTTCAAAGGTCAATGTCGGCTGTGCCCATTTTTTTCCCCTCTATTATATGGTCGATACAATGACGTTGTCAGCAAATACAATTTATCATTGCGTCAAATGCTGACTGAGGTTTTTCATACTTATTGTTAGGACATTATTATCACACAGTATTGTCGACGGATTTCCCGTTATTTCCCGATCAAGACAAAAGGCGCACAGCGGAGGTTCCGGTCAGCAATGCTTACTCCTCCATGGTACCTGATCCCACCTCTGACGTTTTGGAGGCCCGTGTTTGCTCTGCTCCTTTTCTGTATTGTGAAATGGACTTTTGAAATTGAAAACTATTCGTTATCTCCATATATTTTAAGAACATTTGAGAGTGATCAATGTTCGTTTTTTTTCCAATTTCATTTTGAACTTTCGAATTCAAGCATTAGATTTAGATGAAAAATGTAAACAGGAGATTTGTAGATCTATTCTGCTTACGATGCATTTTGAAACAAGTGATGCTCTTACCTTTAAGCTTCAGAGTAGTAATCGTATAGTGGAGAGAAACGTTTCCTATATATTGACTATAGAGTCAGTCCTGTCTGAATTTCAAAGCCATTTTCACACCTGCATTTGTCATCAAACCTTCCCAAGTATACTTGAAACAGTTATTCTATCTCTTTTCTCTGCGATCAAATCACCCGTAAATGTGTTTTGTCTTCCAAGAGAAATAACAGTGCTTGTTTAATGTTTACTTAACATGATAGAAGTGAAATTTGAAGAAAGTGGCCGCATAAGCTTCTGATCATATAGCTTTAAGTGTTTATTCCATTGTCGTAAAATTCTCTGGGTTTATGGTCAACGCGAAATCTAAGACACCAA